TGTATAAGAAAAAGAAAAAAAAAGAAGAACTTAAGGACTATTTAGTTGCCGATGCTTCCTCAGGCTAATTCAAAATTTATACCAGTCATTAGACTATTCACAATTCAATTCCAAATACATTTACCTGCCAGGCAAGGTATCACAACTCCAGTCCCAGCTATGGCAGAAAGTGAAAGTTTACTTTTGCCAGGAGCTTGAGACCAACCTGGGCAACACAGAGACATTGTTTATAAATAAATAAGCAAATAAATAAACAGCCACACATGTAATCCCAGCACTCAGGAACCTGAGATAGAATTGCAGAGAGTTCAAGGCCAGACGGAGCCACAGAGTAAGTTCAAAGCCAGCCTGGAATTACATCTCAAAAAATTAAAAAACCCAAAACAAAACCAAAAATAATAATAATAATAAAAGAAAACAAAAGACCCCATCTAGAGCCAGGATTTAGCAAGCACAAGGATCCAAGTTTGATCCCTGGTACAAAAAAAAAAAAAAAAAAAAAAGCACAGAGCTGTGAATCCTAGATACTAGGGATGCTAAAGTAGGAAGACTAAAAGTTTGAGGCTAGCCTCAGCAATTGAGCAAGAGAAAATTGGAAAATTTGTGAAAATCTATCACAAAAAATTGAAAAACGGGCTGGGAACATAGCCCAGTAATAGTGTGTTCACCTAGCATATGCTAGGTCATGGGTTCAGTCCCCAGTATCAGACGAAATCAGTCATGCACAGGGTAGTATGAGCGTAGATTCAATCAATCCCCAGTAAAAGAAATAAATTAATAAGGGAATAGCCAGGCATGGTGGTGCACTCCTCTAATCCCAGCACTCGGGAGGCTGAGGCAGGAGGATGCTGTGAGTTCGAGACCAGCCTGGGCTACATAGTGAGTTCCAGGTCAGTCTCAACTACATAACCCTACAAAAAAAAAAAAAAAAAAAAAAAAAAAAAGTGAATACATCTAGCTAACATGAGTGAAAAATAAAATTGAAACAGACACAAGTTCTAGGTATAGGTGAGGAAACTAGAACTACAGATTCTGTTGCACAAAACCTACAAATACAGGGCCAGGGATTTAGTTCAGTGGTTCCACTGCCTGCCTTGCAAGCACAAGGACCCAAGTTCAATCTCTAGTACCAAAAAACAAAAACAAAAACAAAAAACAAAAACCAGGGCCAGGGCTTTAGCTCAATGTTTCTGCCACCTGCTTATAATGGCAAGGACGCAACCAAGTTTGATCCCTGAGTTTGAAGCCCGGTACCAAAAAAAAAAAACAAAAGAACCTACAAATACATTCCCTATAAAATTGGTGCCTCAGTATGGACTTTTTTTTTCCAGTACCAGAGATTGAATTCAGGACCTTATGCTTGCCAGGTGCGGCACCACTGAGCTAAATCATCCCCTACCCTTCTCAGTAGGGACTTTTTAGACTCTGAAGTCACCAACTTGGTGCTGCTGGTTATATGAATCAATTCTGTTCTAGACAATCTGATTTCTTAGGACGACAGCAAGAGAAGCAGAAATTTCTAATGTAATGTAGCATTTAGGCTACTCACCCTGTGAGACAAGGAGTTCAAGTGTTAGCCTCCAAGATAGTTCCCTGAGCACTGCTCCCTCTGGTTTTCCTGACCTTTTATTAGTCCTCTCCAAGAATGAATCAGGGTTACTCTATGTTGAAAAAAGAATAATTTGGCTGACCTTTGTCTCTGGGAGGAAGACCTTAAATTCTTGAAGTTTAGAATGACCCAATGCAAATTAAACAATGGGTCAGCTGGTCAAGGTAGTCCTTCCACTTAGAAAGGCTGAGAGAGGATGATCACAAGTTCTAGCCCAATCTGGGCAATGTAGCAACTCAGTAAGATCCTGTCTCAAAAAAAAAAAAAATAAAAAAAAAAAAAAAAAAAAAAAAAAAAAAAAAAGGATAGAGAAGACACTAGAATCAGTCCCCAGTACTACTACCAAAAAAACAAAAAACAAAAAAAAACCCTGCTAGGACAGTTGAACAGTTTCTACCCCAGAAATGGATAGACTGTACTAATGTAAGGTCACTGCCTGAGCAAAAACTTCTCATTTATCAAATGAGAAGAAATTTATTTGGATAATACCACACATGAAGCTGGGTGTGGTGACACATCCCTATAATCCCAGCTACTCAGGAGGCTGAGGCAGGAGGATTGAAAGTTCAAGGACAGTCCAGGCAATTTATTAGGACCCTGTCTCAAAATAAAATAAAAAGGAGCTTGGTACATGACAGAGCACCAGTTACCTAACATGCATGAAGCCTGGGATCAATCTCCAGTATTACCAAGGAAAAAAAAAGGTAAAATAGGGCCGGGGATTTAGCTCAGTGGTTCCGCCACCTGCCTTGCAAGCACAAGGTCCCAAGTTTGATCCCAGGTACCAAAAAAACAAAGCAAAACAAAAAAAAGGTAAAATCAGTAGTGGTTCTTGTATATCCTTTTAGATATATTTTCCTATATAAGTATTTTCCTCCACAAAGGTAAGGCCATTAAATAGTATTCTGCAATTTGCTTTTCCCTAGTATGTTTTAGAGATCATTCCATATCACAATTAAAGCTATCTTATAAATGCAGAAGTACCACAATTTACTGAGACCTGTTCTCTAACAATGAACACTTTGATTGCAATCAATATTGTGCTATACTTTCAAGTTTCTTTCTTTTTTGGAGGGATTGAACTCAGGACCCTGCGCTTACAAGGCAGGTGCGGTGCCATTGAGCTAAATCCCTGGCCTTCAAATTTCTAAGATCAAGTGATAAAGTCTCTCCTCCAAAGGCATAAGATAAAAGACTATCACCAAAAGGACATTTTGCCCAATCTCGGTTTTGTTTGTTTTGAGACAGGCTTTCACTATGTAGTTCAGGCTGGCTTTGAACTTACTATGTAGCCCAGGCTGGCCTTGAACTCGTGGCAATCCTGCCAAGTGCTGGGACTACAAACATGTGCAGTCATGCCCTATCAGTTTTTATTCCTTTTACACTATTAAAACACATTCTCTTAAAAGCAGGCATGGTGGTGCACGCCTGTAATCCCAGGACTCCAGAGGCTAAAGGAGAATCTCTGCAAGTTCAAGGCTAGCCTATGCTACAATGAGTTCAAGACCAGCCTGAACTACAGAGCAAAATCCTGTCTCAACTCCCAGTTCCCAAATATACTCTTCTCTCCTGTACATGTTTTTTTAAACTGTAATAAAATGTATATAAAATTTTAAACACTTTTTATACATACAGCTTAGTAGTACTGAGTATATTAATATTGTTGTGCCACCACTACCACCACCCATCTCCAGAACTCATTCTGGCTTCTCAAAGTGAAACTCTGCGTCAACTCAACAATAATTTCCCACCCCTCTCCCCCATAGGCCTTGGCAACCACCATTCTAATTTCTGTCTCTATGATTCTTGCTACTCGATATACCTCACATAAGGTGTATACAAGGTTTTAATCCTTATATTAAATGCACACTGAATGGTTTTCACATAATACAATCAATGTTTGTACCCAAATAGGTGTTACAGTTTGGAGCAAAATTTGTATGTTTAAATCCTAACATCTAGTACCTCAGAAAGTGACCTTATTTGGAGTCATTAAGTCTTATTTAGGGTCATTAAGATGTGAAAATTAAATTTAAATTAAAATGAGGTCATACTGGAGCAGGGTGGGCCCCTGATCCATTATGATTGGTGTTCTCATAAAAAGGGGTAGTGGGAAGCACAGCCCTGTAACCTCAGCTACTTAGGAATATGAGGCAGGGGGATCAGATTCAAATGTAGCTGGGTATGGTAGCGCACGCCTGTGATCCTAGCCCTGAGGAGGCTGAGGCAGGAGATTAATGGAAGCTCAAAGCCAGCCTATATTATATAGTGAGTTCAAAGCCAGCCAGAACTATACAGCAAGACCCTATCTCAAAAAACAAAACAAAATTTCAAGTCCAGCCTGGGAAATTTGGTGAGATCCTGTCTCAAATAAAGAATTGGGATACAGCTGAGGGCTAGATTGCCCCTGGATTTGATCTTCAGTACCAGAGAGGGGTAGATTAGGACGGACACACGGACACACACACACACACACACACAAACACAAAGGAAGAAAATTGGTGTGAAGAATGAAGTTTATGCTGCCACAGGCTAAGAAACTTCCAGAAGCTAAAAAGGTCTGGAGCCAGGGGCACACCTGTAATTCCAGCACTGAGGAGACTTAGGCAGGAGTATCACTGTGAATTTGAGGCCAGTCTCGGCTACATAGTGAGTACAAGGCCAGCCTGAATTACATAGCTAGACCTTATCTCAAAAAAAAACAAATCTATTTATTTATTTTAAAAAAACAGAAAGCCTCCCAGAGGATGCCCCTGCTATCAAGTTTAGATGTCTGACCTCTAGCACCATGAGAACTATTGTTCTTGCCACAGCCGGCTTCAGGAGGTATGAAGTCTCACAAGGGTCTTCATTTTTTTCCCCCAGCAGAGCCGAGGAGTTAAATCAGAGCTTTAAACATGTCCCAGATAAGGTCTGTTTCTTTTCTTTCTTCCTCTCCCTTCCTTTCCTTCCTTTTTTGTTTTTTACTGTCTGGGGCTTGAACGCAGAGCCTTTGCCCTGAGCTACTTCCCCATTCATTCATTTTTGCAATACTGGAGATTAAACTTAGGGTCTTCAAACTGAGCTACATCCCAGCTCCCCTTTTTTCCATTTCTTATTTTTAAGGACAGGGTCTCACTTAGTTGCTAAACTCTCCAGCTGGGCTTCAACTTGCCATCCTCCTGCCTCAGCCTCCCAGAGTACTATATATACCACCATAATACACACACACACACACACACACACACACACACACACACAAACTACCACATCCAGCCCTTTTATTTTGTCTCCCTAAAAAGAACTATATACGTATCAAAATTTACACCTATGTTTAATGTTCATCTTCTATTCCACTTCTGTCTAGCTATTTTCAAACCTTATTTACAATGATTAGCCCACTATTACTTACTTGCCAAATCCTGAGTTCAGAATTATTTTGAGCACCTAAAGGTCAGGAAAGTCTTCTTTCTATGTGTAAAAGGATCCTGAAGAAAAAAACAACAGTAAAGTAAGGTTCTAGTAATCACTGATCCTAGATGTGTAAGTATGGTAAAATTACAAACTATTCAGAAGAATATAATCAGACGTAAGTTACTCTCTACCTGCCCATATACTAATTTTTAAAAGATGCCGAAAATTCTTGAAACAAGCAGGCCATGGTGATGTATTCTGGTAATCCTAGAGGCTGATGCAGGAGGATTGACATGAATTCAAGGCTATCCTGTGCTACATAGGGAGTTCAAGGCCAGCCTGAACTATATAAAGATCCTGTCTCAGAAAACAAAACAAAATTCTTGAAGTATTTCTGAAGCTTGTATGAAACATTATTCTCTGGGAATCTCATAATAGTATGGATTCTCTTCATAAATTGTATGTAAGATTTCTGGTAGTTTATAGGCTTCCTCTAAAACTCTTTGATATACACACATTCTTCTCTGCAAAACACAGAAAAATATTACCTTTCTTTCCTCTGGCTCAAGTCTTCTCCTGGATGAGATGAAAAAACTACTGACAAAAGCAATCAAAAGGGAAGTGCTGCCAGGCATGGTGGTGCACCCCTGTAATCCCAGCACTCTAGAGGCTGAGGCAGTAGGATGCTGTGAGTTTGAGACCAGCCTGGGCTACATAGTGAGTTCCAGGTCAGTCTCAACTACATACAAAGAAACAAAAAAAAGAAGTGCTTCTCCTTGAAAATTTTCCAAAAGCATAACTTATACTAATTACCATTTGAACTAGATCCAACTAATGTGCAACCGTTTTCGTCAGTCCTAACGTATTCATTTATTTTTATCTTGTTTTGTTCTTGAGGCAAAGTCTCACTCAGGCTGGTCTTGAACTAGCAACTTCTCCAGTGCTAGGGTTACAGGCATGTGGCACCACACAGGGCAAATCCTCACTACTTTAGAAATCTAATAAAATACGGCCGGGGATTTAGCTCAGTGGTTCCACCGCCTGCATTGCAAGCGCAGCGACCCGAGTTCATCCCTGGTACCAAAAAAAAAAAAGAAAAAAAAGAAATCTAATAAAATAAACTTTCCTATAATGTAACAGAGATCCAATGAGAGGTTACAACCCTGAAAAATTACAAAAAATGAGATACCCTCCCCAAATTTAAAAAACCGAATAGAAATATCAGACATTACTGACATTCTGCAACCCTGATACCTTACTTAGATTATGTGCTATCACTATTCCGCAAAATTATTTCTCATTATCCCTCTACCAAAAA